GGGGGGGGGGGGGGGGGGGGGGGGGGGGGGGGGGGGGCGGGATGGTGGGGGGCGTACAAATCTTATATGTTTCAATCAAGTCTTTACTCATTCTCCTAAACTCCAATGAGTATAAGCCCAACCTATCAACCTCTCCTCATAAGAAAATCCTTCCATACTCAGATTAAGCTAGTGAATCTTCCCTGGACTACCTGCAATGCCAGGATATTTTCCCTTCAATAAGGGAACTAGAGCTGTCCACAGTATTCCAGCTGTGGTCTGAATAGTGCCTTACAGATAGCTTTAGCAAACCTCCCTATTTATATACTACAATCCTTTTGAAATAAAGGCCAATATTCCATTTCTCTTCTCTATTACTAAACCTGGGTGCTAGTTTTTTTTGTGATTCATGCACAAGGACCTCCAAATCCTTCTGTGCTACAGCTTTCTGCAGTCTTTCTGCATTTAAATAATATTCAGCTCTTCTCTCCTTCCTGCCAAAGGGCATAACTTCACATTTTCCAATGTTATATTCCATCTACCAAGTTTTTGCTTGCTCACTTGACCTGTCTATATCCCTCTAAATCCGTCTTACTGTTTGCTTTCTCACCAATTTTTATTTGTTCCCATCATCCAAATCATTCATATATATTGTAAATAACTGTGGCTCCAATACTGATGCCTTGGGACTCCATTAGTTACAGGTCGCCATCCTGAAAATGCCACTTTTATTCCATCTCTCTGCCGTCTATTCATCACCCAATCCTCTATTCATGCTAATATACTACTTCCAACATCATGGGCACTTGTCTTATTACGTAGCCTTGTGTACAATATCTTATTGAGTGCCTTTTTGAAATCCAAATATATTATATCAACACGTTCCCCTTCATCTACCCTCCTTGTTATGTCTGCAAAAAGTGTAATATGTTTGTCAGCCATAATTTCCCCTTCATGAAGTTATGCTGATTATATTGACTAAATATCATGGATTTCTAAATGCTGTACTATTACCGCTTCAATGATAGACTCTAACATTTTCCCCACAGCAGATTTTAAGCTAACTGGCCAAGGATTTGGGGAAGATGACTGCTAGTGCACCTCAATCCTACTCCATTTGCCAGTTTTCCTATAAAAGATCCAATGATTTCTGCAAAAAACATTCCCTTAAGACCATAAGAAATAGGAGCAGAAGTAGGCCTTTCAGCACCTCAATCCTACTCCACCATTCAATATATCATTGCTGACCTGACATTCGTCACATCCACTTTCTTGTTCTTTCCTTGTATCTTTGATTCCCTGACTGATCAAGAATCTATCTCAGCCTTAAATATATGCAAGCTCTCTGTGGCAAGGAGTTCCAATGACTCTTGGTCTTTGAGAGATTGCAAAGTATTTCATGTTACAGCCCTTATGTGAAGAAACTTTGTCTAAGCACAGTCTTAATTTTCTTAGTCGCAGTTTGAAATTGCTGACCTCTTGTTGCTAAGTCTCCGACAAGGTATATGAAACTCTTCAAAAGATACCAAATATCTCAAGTCTCTTCTCAACACTGTAGTTTCCCATTCATGACGTTATCCTGATGAATCTATGCTTCATATTTTTAATGCTTTTTTTATAACAGGCACTGAAATCTACATGATATTCTTATTTTAATCTAACTAGTATTATGTACAAATCCATCATTACTGCTTCACACTGGTACTCTGTGTATGAAATCCAAAATTCTGTTGGCCTCCTTTGTGGTGTTGCTTAGCAGCATTTGCCTTTTCATTCAGTTATATATTTCAACTCCTAGATCTCTTTGTTTAGGCATGTCCCTCAGCCGCTTTCCATTAGTAGCATCCAGAAAACCAATCTCTATTTACTTCAATAAGTCACTTTCTGACAGAAATGCATGCTGGCCACCGAAGATTAGCTGTTATGAAGCCATTATGTAAACTGAGTATTGGTGTAGCCCTGTGAGGGCAGATAGTGTCCATATATCTTGAGTCAGAACAGTCAGGGGACAAGAATGGAAAATTGATGGGATGGTGGGAAACGTTGTGCATGGAAGGCAATTTAAGCTTGCACAGACATTATATAATCTGCACATACCATCTCTTCAAAATGTCTTTCTTTTAAAAATCACAGGTATGGTTTCAAAATAGGAGGGCAAAGTGGAGGAGACAAGAGAAGATAGAGGCTAGTGCAATGAAATTGCACGATTCTCCCATGCTATCCTTTAATAGGCCACCGATGTCCTCCAGTGTTGGACCCTTAAGCAATTCCCTTCCACTGGATCCTTGGCTAACATCTCCCATCTCTAGTGCAACTTCCATCCACAGCATACCCAGCTTCATGGCGGCACCGCAAGGCTTACAGACCAACTACTCAAGCCACTCATTCTTAAATTCTCCACCACCGATGGTCCAGACAATGCAGTCGATGGGATCGCCAACCTACCAATGCGCAACAACATTTGTGGACAAATATCCTTTGGAAGATGTAGACCAGAGAAGTTCCAGCATTGCCTCCTTAAGGATGAAAGCCAAGGAACACATCCAGTCCATCGACAAAAGCTGGCAAAATATCTGATGGAAAACTATCGGTATTTTAGAAAAACTGTTAAACAGTACCTTGGTTGAAGTGACAATGTGATGGCAGCCTCCAGCTCCAAAATAACTTAATCCATCATGAATCAATAGTCATGATAAAAATGCCTGGATCTTAAAAGCTACCAATGTGACCTGGATATAAGCAAACTGCAGATGGGACTGGCCTTAGTTATACACCAAAAGATAAATTTTATCTTTTGATTACTGAGGTGACACTCCAGTGTTATGGGGAGAATATAAAGGCACCACTGCTTTCTATGCTTTTCCATTATCACAACACTGTAGCAAAATGCTGTCTTTCATTACCGTCCCAATGTAGGTCTATTGAATCCTGTAGATAATGTGCAATTTTTTTTATATCATTGGGAAACCTGGGTGAAGGGGCAAGGCCCACAGTGCAGGACACCACCAAGGTTGTAAAGAGTAGAAGGAAAGAGAAGAAATAGTAGTTAGGTAATCCCAAGTTTGTAGAATACATGGTGCAAGGAAGGTGAGGATTTCCACAGTTTTCAGATCCTTGAAGAAAATGATTAGCGGTAGAAGATGTTGTGATGAATCTGGTTCTCAACAGAGTGAGAATATTGACAGGATCGAAGTGGTCTTTCACTTCTTGTTGTCTTACAGATTATCTTCTTTAAAAATAAATAATATTGCTGTTAAATAGTTATTTGAAAGAGACTGTCATCCTTAGCATGCAAACAAAGATGTGCAGTGCTTACTCATTGGGTCTAACATTTGACTTTTGTGAATAAATTTAATTTGAATCTCATGAGTATAATGTTCTGGAATATTGGTTAATGATATTACAGAAAATTACATATCAACACTGCCAAGTCATCAATCAGCCAGAGTCCACTTTAATTGAACATTGCTCCAATAAAAGTATGTCAATTGAATCTGTTCGGTATGTGTTGGTACTTCTGATATACTTCTAAAACTTTTTTTAAGAGTTTGAGTACTTGTTTTCATCAAAGTGACGTGTATTGGTTGTGGGAAATGGACTTGCCCATGTGAGCACCCAGTGTCAGTGTCAATCATCACTAGCTCAGATACAGCACAGTTAGCTACAAATATATTCTTACTGTTTTCCAGAATCAAACATTCAAGTTAGCATACATCCATGGAGTAAAGCATTGTCTACATTAGGAATGTAGATCCAGGAGTAAGTCATTCAACCTCTTATCACTGTGCTGCCAATCAAATAACCATGTCTGATCTATGTGTTAACTCCATCATATTCTTTGATACATTCATTGAATGGAAGGTGCTCTGGAACATCCTGGACATGTAAAAATATGCTACGAAAATGCAAATTTTGCATTCATTCATCAGATGCACTTGTTGCCAGCTCTTTCTTGTGTTTTTGGATGTTTTTTGTGCTAGTATCTGATGTAATATTCCTACAAAAAATCATTTTATTAAATAAGATGTTCAGAATAAATTTTTCCAAAGTTCTTTATGGAGCAAAGAGAAACAAATGTGGTATGGGCCCAGAATATTCAGGTAACCAATGTTTAATCCATGTTTAAATGAAACGTGTCAGAAACATTCTATGGCAAATGTGGATTGCTACACGCAGCACCTGGGAAAGTGAGGAAGTATATGGATGCTCAGGCTAGAGTTACCAATCCTCCAGGATTAGCCTGAAGTCACCAGCAACGAAAAATTGTTTGCGGTCTTTCCAAAAATCTCAGAGGAAAAGAATCGCAGACTTTGAAATTTTAAAAAATGACGTGTTGGAATGTTCTTTGAACACTTTACTTCATTAATCACAAACAGTACTGGAGATGGGGAGGAAGTGGGTGGGACAGGATATGTGATGAAACCTCCAGGAATACATCCAAGCAGAATTCACAACCCAAATTCAGGACCTTTGTATCAGGAATGTACAAAGTGTTATAAGGATATAATAAATAGAAGCAGGAATGGATATCCAGTCCCGATTCCCCAATATAATGGACCCAACTGGCAAATGGGATTTCACTTTTACTGATCATCATAACCTTCAGTAATTACCATTTGAACTGAAGGTATTAGGTGGGATTTCTTAATTTGTATTAGTAGGATATTAGGTCTATGACTTCCAACAGAATTGGTGGCTGGTGATATCCACCAGGGATTGCTGAGTGCAGAGGTAAGGTCTCTGTTCTGACCCTCTAGGAATTCTTATATACAATCACAAAATAGAGAATGTGCAACAGAAATTAGCTTTGTTACATGAAGAAAGAAAAAGTCACTTGCATTGATGAAGCACTTTTCATGACCAGCAGATATTTCAAAGTGATTTACAGCCAGTGCAGTATATTTGAAGGGTATTCACTGAAACAAGGAAAGACTTCACAGCACACAAACCAATAGGGTTATCAGACAATGAGTCCTGTGATATTGTATCCCTCACGCTATACAACTGTCAGAAATGACTATCTTTAACGAGAGAGAATGTTCCTTGACAATCAATGGCATTTCCACCACTAAATCCCTCACTATCAATACCCTAGAGGTTACTATTGACTAAAAACTGAACTGGACTCACCATATAACTATTGTGGCTGCAAGAGCAGGTCAGAGGCTAGGGACCTTGCAGCAAATAACTCAACTTCTGCCTTGCCAAAGCCTTTCCATCGTCTACAAGGCACAAGTCCAGACTGTGAAGGAATACTCCTTACGTTCCTGGATGAGTGCCGCTCCAACAAAATGCAAGAAGCTCAAGACCATCCAGAACAGTGCTTGATTGGCACAGCATACTCAAAAAATTCAATCCATTCACTACTGATACTCAGTAACAGCAGCGTTGACAGGATGCAGAGCAGAAATTCACCAAAGTTCCCTAGACAGCGTCTTTGAAATCACTACCATCTGCAATAACAAGAATTGCAAATGTATAGGAATACCACTAGCTGCAAGTTTCCGTCCAAGCCACTGATTATCCTGACTTGGAAATGTATTGCCATTCCTTCAGTGTCACTGAGTCAAAATCCTGGAACTCACTTCTAATGGCATTGTGGATCTGCAGCGGTTCAAGAAGGCAGCTCATTGCCACCTTCACAAGAGCAACTAGGGACAGGAAATAAATTTTGGCTCAGCCAGAAATGCCTATGTCCCATGAATTAATAGAAGAAAAAATACAAACAATAACATTAGGCATGCATCGTTCAGAAACACTTTCACTTTAGCAGTGGGGAGTATGAATATTTGTGATATCAATTAAGCGGGCTGCTTTGTCCTGAATGGTGTCAACCTTGTTGAATGTTTTTGAAGCTGTACTCATCCAGGCAAGTAGGGAGTATTCCATCACACTCCTGATGTGTACTTGTAGATGGTGGACAGGCTTTAGGAAGGCAGGAAGTGAGTTATTCACTGCAGGATTCCTAGCACCTTATTCAGTCTTGTAGCCACAGTACTTGTATGGCTAGTCCGGTTGAGTTTCTGGTCAATGGTAACCATCAGGATGTTGGTATTGACTTCATTGTCATAGGAAGTTAAAGGAAAAAGCTGGTCATGGTAAATGAAGCTTGAAGTCTCACAAGGACAACAATATTCTTTGGTCACATCAATCCATAGTCAACTCACCTAAATCAGCGAGCACCTAACAGCACGAGCAGGGAAATTGTGAATGAGTGAAAAAGTGCGTGGGGGAGGGATGTGAGAGATTCTGAACTGGAAAGTGGGAGAAAACTCCTAGAATTGCAGTGGTGTTGGAGGTACTGGGATGAAGAGGAAGCTGTCAATGCTTGTGGGAAGGGAGAGAATTGCTTGAATTGGAGCTGAGGAAGAGGCATAGCAATGGTCAAGTGGTATTATTGTTGGGGACCCTGGTAGTGTTCTGGGGACGTGAATTTGAAACCCGCCATGGCAGATGGTGACATTTTAATTCAATAGAAATCTGGAATGAAAAGCCTTATGATGACCATGAATCCATTGTTGATTGTTGGAAAAACCCACCTGGTTCAATAATGTTCCTTGGGAAGGAAACTGCCATCCTTACCTGGTATGAATGACTCATGAAGGGGATGGGAAATAAATGCTGACCTAGCCAGTGATGCCCTCATCTTTTGAATAAATTTTTTAAAAATCATCCAAGTTGTAGGCCTACCTGACCCAGAGGGTGAATGGGGAAATAGCAGAGACTGAAATTTGATAAGGGGGAAGACGTTTATATCAAAACAGTCCCGAATGGTGAACAAATCCTATGTGGTAACTGCCAGGCTTGTCTCTTCAGGTTAAATCGGCAAATTTCCATTCTGGTGACATTGACCTATTTTGTATTGAAGAGCAATATTAAGTGTGTAATATTCAGAAGTATAATGAAGGGTAAGTGCATTTGAAGATATACCTATATTTAGATTTTTTTTCCTTTATTCACTAATGGGATGAGGACATTGCTGGCTAGGCAGCATTTATTGTCCATCCCTAATTCTCCAGAGTCAACCACATTGCTGTGGGTCTGGAGTCACATGTAGGCCAGACCAAGTCAGGATGGCAGTTTCCTTCCCTAAAGGACATTCGTAAGCCAGAGGGGCACTGTAGAGGGAGTAAGATACCTACACCACTCCAGTTGGCAGCATTGTTTCTGCTGTCTCCCACATATGTAACTCAGAAACTTCTGTCAAAGGCAACTCCTGGCAGCATTGCTCTGAATTCTGACAGATATTGCCAATCTTGGAAACAGAGTGTTTGTGATAAACTCTTCTGCATTTATAGGTAATAAAAATGTTAGCATATACTTTCCCCAACATATGTATGCCCTTAACTATAAGGGGAGGCAATGGCCTAGTGGTTTTATCACTGGACTGTTAATCCAGAGACCTGAATAACATTCTAAGGACCCAAGTTCAAATCCTGCCACAGCAGATGGTGGAATTTGAATTCCATAAACTATATCTGGAATTAAGAGTCTAATGATGACCATGAATCCATTGTCGATTATCAGGAAAAACCCATCTGGCTCACGAATGTCCTTTAGGGAAGGAAACTGCCATC